TAATCTCCTTTAATCATTAAACCTTCCTTCTTTAGACACTTTACTGGCACACGAAACGGCAGTCTGGGTCCTCTATGCTGTCGTAGAATCCTCTCAGGCAACCACGCTTCCCATTACCGTAAAAACCTGAGCAGGATTTGAACACGGTTTGTCATTTTACACAGTTTTATTTCAAAAGGCACCCGCAATTCAGCCTTTGATGTTTCACTCCATTTTCCCCAGTTCACAACACCTGTAGCCAAAAACACACACAAAACAGAACTCTTTCATATGCACATCTAAGATTGTTAGCCATGACAGTGCTTTAGAAAAAGCAAGATTACTTAAAGCCAACCTTATACTCATGAGGCCTTATGCATACATCATTGCACACATTTAAACCTTAACACACTTACTGTCAAGCCATGCATAGTGTGCCTTCTGTCTGAACAGGGCCTTGTTTACAACTGGAAGTAAGAGACAGATTCATGTAGGCAGCATCTCCATCCTGTAGCACTACTTCAAGGAGTATCATCTCCAAGACCTCCATGGGTAACTGGAAAGTATTTATAAAAGGATTAATCTATCTGCTTGAATGGAATATTACAGTAGTCCAGCACAAAAGAAAAAAAAGACATCTTACATCCAAAAGTTGCAACTCTGCAGTCATGCTTGCCTTTTGTGCCTAAAAGGATAGCAAATAATACAAGTCAGTCTATATATGGTAAGAGAAGGGAAAAAATGTCTTATTAAATGTTTCATACATTCTTTTCAGTATGCCTCATTTGTCTTTTTGTTGCCCGTCTTCCTTCATCAGACCTGCAATGAAAAGTAGTACAGGACAAGTATGTGTAATGCAATTCTTTTAAATTATGTACATAAAACGTTATCTCAAACTCAAAGGAAAACAGTTGAGAACCTGCGTTAAAATAAAACAGAACATCAACATAAACAACATCCACCATTAATTGCTATATTCAAATATAATGTTTTTGAACTGTGTACCGTTCCCTCAATGTCTTTTTCCAGTCCCAGACAGCACAGGTCTGATCGTTTTAGCGTTGTGCTATATGCAGTTGCCAATGGCTCGTCTTTGCACTTTTCCACATCCAAAGCATTGTTTAGCTAACATTCAGATAAAGACACATAAATGCTCAGGCTGATGAACAGTATTTTGTAAAGATAAAATCCCTAAAATGAACTTACCAACTGCTGTTGCCCCTCATTTGGCATGGTTCCCCAAAATGTTTTGCTTGCTTTAACTACCTTCAGGCTTGTTACCACAGGATTTGGACAACATTTAGGGTCACACTGCGACTGGACAGCTGTACATAAGTAAAAGATACAAACAAGCCACTTAAATTTAAGCAAAAATCACAAACTTCTATGAGTTAAAGAACAACTTCAACCTGTATGCATTTCTTTCTCATTCGGAGTTGTGTTCAAAGTTATTGCAAGGGGAAATGGCTCTTAAAAGAGCCTTTGAGTTATAAAGTGAACAACACCACAAAAGAGGAGAGAGATGGAGGGTTGGGGATGACAATGACACGGATCTGCAAAAAGAAGGAAATACAGAGAATCAGTATTAGCATAAAATGTTTTATTTTTTACTCGTGCAGGGGTGTTCAAAAGTCGGTCCTGGAGGGCCACTGTCCTGCAGAATTTAGCTCTAACTTGGCTCAACACACCTGCCTAAGAAGTTTCTAGTATGCCTAATAAGGTCTTGATTGGCTGGTTCAGGTGTGTTTAATTGGGGATGGAGCTGAACTCTGCAGAACAGTGGCCCTCCAGGAGCAGGATTGGGCACCTGCACTAGTGCGTATACTGTATAGCAGCATAACAGTATGTAATATAAAAAACAAGCTCTACTTTCAAGGACTGTTAAACGTAATCATACTTTTTGTTGAATTATTATTAATAAATGTAGTTTACCATTTATTTTAATAGATGCATAATTATTATTATTATTAATAATAATAATATCTAAATATTTTACATTGAATCATTTTATTCACAGAAAAACAATATAATTTTGTATAGCTATTGTTAATATTAACTTGTCCTATATTACTTCTGCTGGTTCAGTTTTGCCACTGTATTTCTTTTTAAGGGGCTTATTTTGTGAACACTATATCCTAATCATAATCCCACCAAAACCACACACACTAACTTTAGAATTAAAACTTGTAATTAAACAAATTAGACAAGAGACTCACCATGCAGCGAAGAACAGCGGAAATGAAAACCCGCTAGAATCGACGTCAGGACAACCAATGAGAACAGTTGTGGGCGGGGCGACACGTGCAGCCCCGCCCCAGGTGCAGCCCCGCCTCGATCTGCAGGCTGCAGCCGGGTGCTTCTCGTTGAAGCCGGAATGACAGCTCATTAACGATGCAGAGTTCCAGCATTCTCATTGGCTAGAATTAATCACGTGCTGAATACCGCCGCCTAGCTCTCCATACCGCCACCTATCTCTCAAATAGACCATTGACACTCTCTACAATCTCAATTAGGAGTGTCAATGGTCCATTTGAGAGAT